CCTGCTCCAGCTTGTCCTTGATCGCCTTGTATTCGATCATTACTTCCTTTAGCACACCGGTCCGCGTCAACTCCTTCGCGTGTCGCAGGTTGGGCTTTGTCATGGCATACCCGTCCGAAAGGGCATCCAGGAAGATGTGAAGGACGAACGTTTCGTTGACAGTTAGTCCTTTCTCGGTTAAGGACTTTGCGGTTTGGAGCATCTCATTTAGGGCGTTTTTGGGATTTTCACCTCTAGAGATCTTGGTCGACGTCAGGGACTTGAGGTCCTCTGACGGCTGTACAGATGATTCAGGGTCGTGTATGGTCTTGAGCTCACGAAGAGCTCCCTGGAGCGTCTCTGCCCTCTTCATGATTTTCCGATCTTTTTCTTTCAACGCGTGAGACAGGAAGTTCCACGCGTGGAATGCGAGCTCTACTTGCTCACTCCGGAAGTGCTGTGACCTCGAAAACTTGCTCTATCCGTTGTTGACGGGGATCTCCAAGCTTCCGCTCTCTTCAAATTGTTCCAACAGGTTTGCGCCATTAGCTGCCATGCGGAAATCATTAAGCCATTCATTGAAATTTTTCGATTTCCCGCTGAACGGAGGAGAAGTGTACCGCACACTTTCGTACCCCGTCGCTGGGGTTTTGGCTCCGTATCGAAAGCCAACAGCAGCACCACCATCTCCCATGGCACTACTATTATCTTGGTTGTGAGCAGCGGCTACTCTCACCTCTTGGGGGACAAGCCCCCTGCTTCGTCGCTGTGTTGCCCTGACGGGCCAGACTCTCGAACAGGTTCGCGCAGGTACCTCCCGTCCTGCGCACTCCCGGTCTACGGTGCCCCTTCTTCGGCGTTCGTGGACTCCGCGGCGGCCCTCTCCCTAGCATCGCCGCGATCAGCGGCACCCTCCATGGTGCCAGCTGGCTCCTCCTCCTTGCTTGCCTTCATGGTATCTGCCACTAGCGACATTAGCTGGCTCATCTCATCCGTCAGCGAGCTAACTTGCGTCCTCAGGGCTACGAGTTCTTCTCTTGACCTCGTTCTGTCTTCCGCCGCAGAGTCGCTGGAGGAGTCACCCCCATCTTTGCGACCTGACATTCCTATTGGACTCTCTCTCGAGGGACTGACACTAACCCTAGTGTGTTCGTATATGTCCTTTACTTGGAAGGGGAAGACGTTTTATCTCTTGTATCAGACACGTAAGGGGAGTAGGGAGAAANATTAGCTGGCTCATCTCATCCGTCAGCGAGCTAACTTGCGTCCTCAGGGCTACGAGTNCCTCCATGGTGCCAGCTGGCTCCTCCTCCTTGCTTGCCTTCATGGTATCTGCCACTAGCGACATTAGCTGGCTCATCTCATCCGTCAGCGAGCTAACTTGCGTCCTCAGGGCTACGAGTTCTTCTCTTGACCTCGTTCTGTCTTCCGCCGCAGAGTCGCTGGAGGAGTCACCCCCATCTTTGCGACCTGACATTCCTATTGGACTCTCTCTCGAGGGACTGACACTAACCCTAGTGTGTTCGTATATGTCCTTTACTTGGAAGGGGAAGACGTTTTATCTCTTGTATCAGACACGTAAGGGGAGTAGGGAGAAATGAAGCCCTCTTTGGAGTTCGAGGGGTCCCCGCACATGCAACCATTTCAAGGTGTACATATGCCCCATCTACGTGCCCTCTGTTGTTGACGGTAGATCGAACCAGTCCGTATCCAAACACACGAACAATGCCTTCCTCACCGGTCAATCTCTGCCCTCACCCGGTATTCTTCGACCTCGTGCTTCATCGCTGGAAAAGGTGAAAATTGTCGAGAAGCCCGCGGGACTCAAGGGAAGCCCGATTGACCTGGTGTCGTACGATTCGGGAGAGAACCAGGAGCAGAGCATGCAACCAGCTATTAATTGTGCGTCATGAGAAGTAAATCTCTTTTCGTTTTGCGGAACGAGGGCCAATCAATAATTGATGTTTGTGCGAGACTACAACGTTGCTGGAAAATTGGGGCTACAGCCGAAATCAAATCCGGCATGAAATGGATGTCCTGTAGACTTAGTCTAGAAGATTCTTGATAGTCTAGATTTGCATAAAAGCTTAGCATTGTCTTTCATCCTTACGCGAATACGAGACACTCGGGGCAGGAAAGAAATGTTAACCATCTCCCACACTGCAGGCGTTTTACAGATTCGTTGTCCCGCCGACCCCGGTGCGGCAGGACATCAATGGACCGCCGGCGTACGGGGTGGAGGCTCTTCCATCGAATACCCTCATTACATGATTGTATAGTAGTTCATTAGGAAAAAATGCAATTCAATATCAGTAACTATTGGTTGATCCATAACAAAAACGATCGAAAGCGGAACAAATAGACAAGGAATGCCGAGCAAATGACACGAAGCAGATAAACTGACCGGATATCAGAGGAAAACTACCTGGGGTCGACCGCATACTGTTGTCGTAGTGGATGTAATATTCCAACAGAGCGGGGTAACCCTCTACACGAAAGGAACATGGGAGGGACGACTTGCATGTTTTTCAACTGGCCCTTTCGTGTTGTGATCAGGACACAACTCTTACGGTCTGTCGCAGCGCAGCCTCCGACGTTCTGTGGAGCTCGGGCAAGCCCCCAGGTTTCACTTCTGCAAATTTGCACACTACCCGCGTGTGTCTTTCCACGCTTCACAGTATGGTTCGTGCACGCTCGAAACCAAGCTCTGCTCACTGCGCTACTAAGGCACATGCTCCAGAGCGTACGTGCAGTAGTTCTTTCTCAACCAGTCCGTGTACCGCGTGTCACCGTGTCTCGTACCATGCCTCATCATCACTATTTCCGAGATTATCACGTTTCGTGAAATACTCGAGAGACTTCACTGAAGCCATTCGCGGGGTGCAACAAGCGTAATGGGGGGGATGGGGGGGGCGTTCTTCTCTTTCTGTCCGCGTACAGAACCGGCCCGCACTGAAGAACCTCTTATTTGGAGCGAGGCTCGCTTCTTGTTGGCTGCCCCAAGCCGAGCACAAGTTCTTATTTGCCAGGTTCTTATTTCGTCGTCCAGTTGTCTCCAGAAACGGTGTTCTTGTTCTTATTTCATCATCGATTGCTCAATTGGTGCACTACTCAACTGCACTCGACGCAGAGTTTCATACCCGCAAACACCCCCCCATGGGGCAACTGTCAACCGTCTTGGTCCACAAGAGTGGGGGTGCGTACCCTTCCCGCCATACTGACGCTCTCAAGCAAAACCCATGAGCCTACCGCCGCGTCTGGATCTCCGCTGTACTTGTCTAAGGGCAGCTTCACATTGCGCGTACTGTGGTCTACTTCCAGCTGCACACAGTAGTCGTACAGGTGGCGCTGCGGAGATTGCTGAATGATCAACCCACCGAACCACCCCATGCCCAGCCGAACAAGCACTCCACGTTGCAAAAGCAATCTGTCAAGAGCAGCGGGGGTAGATTCTTGAAGGCGAAAGCCCGCCGGGATCTCCATTCCCTGCGTCTCGTCCTCCGGGTCGTCTGGGTCCATGCTGTCGTCCTCGTCCAAAAGAGCTAGCTCGTCGGTCTGGGATTGAGACATGTCTGCGACGAAGGGTACCGTGAAACACGAGAAGGAACGTACGGGTGTCATCGCCGTTACTCAACTGAAGTGAACACACCATTTGTTCGTAGACGTCACGCGGAAACAGAATATCTCAAACAGCACAAGAAAAGATGAACAACAAGGACAATGAATTAACTGTAGTCTATGTAGTGCCAATCAAACTTACTGTCGTCGTCTTCATCGCTGTATCCAGCGCCCTCCATGCCCTCCCCGCTGTTGGCACCGTTGCGCTCATCCCCGACGACCGGCTCGCGCCTTCCGGCGCCCTCCTCCTCCCGCCCCTCGGGCCCATCGCTGCCGTCCTCCGAACCTCCTTCGTTCTCGCTGGAGTCTTCATCGTTTG